CCTCATTGGACAACCACTTTGCTTTCTTGCATTTCCTTTTCTTTGGAATGGTTTTTGTTGCTGTCTCCTGTACAATGTTACGAGCCACAGTTCTTCAGGCACTCTGTCCACCAAGTCTAGTTCCTTAAATGTGTTCTTCACTTCCACTGTGTATTCATAAGGGGTTTGGTTTAGATTTTTTTTATATATTTAATTTATATCCCGCCTATCTAGTCGCGGTGGACTACTCTAGGCGGCCTGACTAGCCCAGTGGTTTTTCCTACTTTCTTCAGCTTAAGCTTGTTTCGCTAAAAGAAGGTGATGATCAGAGCCACAATCAGCTCCAGGTCTTGTTTTTGCTGACTGTATAGAGCTTCTCCATCTTTGGCTACAGAGAATATAATCAATCTGATTTTGGTATTGCCCATCTGGAGATGTCCATGTGTAGAGTCACCTCTTGTGTTGTTGGAAAAGAGTGTTTGTGATGACCAAGCTTATTCTCTTGACAAAACTCTATTCGCCTTTGCCCTGCTTTGTTTTGAACTCCAAGGCCAAACTTACCTGTTGTTCCTTTTATCCGGACTCCCTACTTTAGCATTCCAATCCCCTATAATGAGAAGAACATCTTTCTTTGGTGTCAGTTCTAGACGGTGTTGTAAGTCTTCACAGAATTGGTCAATTTCAGCCTCTCCAGCATTGGTGGTTGGTGCCTAAACTTGGATTACTGTGATGCTGAAAGGTCTGCCTTGGATTCGTATTGAAATCATTCTATCATTTTTGACATTATATCCCAGTACAGCTTTTCCCACTTTTTTGTTGACTATGAGGGCTATTACATTTCTTCTTCAGGATTCGTGCCCGCAATAGTAAAGGTTACAATCGTCTGAATTGAATTAGTCCATTCCCATCCATTTTAGTTCATTGACACAAAAGTTTTTGTGACTTTTGAAATTGTTTGAAAAACTGCCTTTTTGTCTTTTTCTTGCAACAACTTTAATAAGACATAAAGTTTTAGAACAGCTTCGTTCTTTTGAGAACAGAGGGTTTTTGGTATTAAAGAAAGGCCTTGCCTCAATCACCTACTGAGTATCTTTATATTTTCTGGATATTCTGGTATCCCGATCTTGTAGGGTTGGCATGCAAGCAAAGTGTCTCACTCCCTGTGCACAGGGGTGGGAGGGACTTCATTTGAAACAGGAAGGAAATAAACTGGCTGCTGTCAGCCCACGCTCAACCCCAATGGAGCTCTGGGGAAATGCGTGGGTGCATAGCTTAGAGGAAAGCTTGCATGCAAGTGAGAACCACTTAATATTGTGGATTTTGGTTAATCCCTGGAACACTGAGCAGTCAGAGTGACTCAAGATGTTGGAAGGGGTACAGGCAAGAAGCTTTCTCCCTATCATTAGCACATACTCATACCATGAAAGTGTGGCTTAACAGTTAGTGTGGATCGCTCTGACCTGACCATATTCTTGACACTGTGAAGTAACAGTCAATCTGAGTCCTACCCAGCTGCTCTTTATGCTTAAAAAGTGAGAAAAAAAATAAAAGGATGGCTGAACTACATCACAGGCCCTTTCCCCAACACCACATGTGGTACTGGCCAAAAGCCACAGATGACAACATGAAGAAAGCCAGCCTTCCTCTGAATATATCCAATATACGGCAAGTTATTAGAGAACTGATTATTATTAAAAACAACACACACACAATTACTTTATGCTACTGCTTAAACTTTTAAATGATAGCGTTCAAAATCACTATTCTGAAACACTAGCTGGTTTTGTTATATCACATAACTATACAACATAATTAACCACCACAAGAGCACATCTTCTACAGCTATATTCGCGAAGGCTTTCACGGCCGGGATCTAATGGTTGTTGTGGGTTTTTCGGGCTCTTTGGCCGTGTTCTGAAGGTTGTTCTTCCTGACGTTTCGCCAGTCTCTGTGGCCGGCATCCTCTGCCGGCCAAAGAGCCTGAAAAACCCACAACAACCATCTTCTACAGCTCTTTCTACATAGTAAGTATAAAGGTCAAGTTAAGGACAGTTTCTGCTTTTTGGAGAACATGTATATGTCTGTATACCATGTGTTGTTTTTCATAACTACAATCTTTTATTTGGCACACTTTATGAGAAGGGTTAAAAAAACTAATATGAAAAAGATTTCCTAAAAATCCCCAACCTTGGGCCTCCAGATATTCTTGGACTACAACTCCCAGAAGCCTTCACCACCACCTCTGCTGGCCAGGATTTCTGGGGGTTGAAGTCCAAGAACATCTGGAGGCCCAGGGTTGGGGACCACTGCTCTAGGAGATCACTTCCAGTGTAAGCAGAAGTCTCTTTTCAAAAGTTATGGATCTATAGCTTTGAATAAAGAATAGAAAATAACTGAATGGTGGACTTAGAAAGTTCCTATTTAATGGTTTACATTTTGTATTAAGAGATATGCTGCAGAAACAGCTACAGTCAGTAGCACACAATTCCATGTACACTTTAAAATGAGTAAACTTAATTACCCGTATTTTTCGCTCCATAAGACGCACCTCTCCATAAGACGCACCAAATTTTTAGGAGAAGAAAACAGGAAAAAATAATCTGTTTTATTCGCTCCATAAGACGCACAGACTTTCCACACACCCCCTGTTTTGTGGGGAAAAAAGTGTGTCTTATAGTGCAAAAAATATGCTAAGTTTAAGGCAGTTTAAAGCAGATAAGTAAGGGATTACATGGTAAAGCAGAAACTTGGTTTATCATTGTAACATCTTACTGGTTCTAGGCAGCAGGCACTGAAATTCAAGAGACAGCCTTTACAGAACCATCAGAATTTCTTTTATTTCTTCTATCAGAGTTCTCCAAGGTGTTCAAGTTCTCAAATTACAAACATTTATAATTATACCAAACAATCATTATTTCCTTTGGACCATTTATCAGGGATGCCCCAGAATATACTTCATCAGATTCTTCCAACAAAAAGGAAGAGGAATCTTGTACATAGTGATACCAGTTTATTCTTCAGTGATCTTGTCTCTCCTTCAGTACTGTCAGATCCCAATAGTTCATCTCATAGACCCACAAGGCACACCTGATTTCCTAATATTTCTATCATGCCATATCTAGAGCTACAGAGAACTCAACCTAGGTCAACAAGTCAGCCCACCCTTTGCAATTGGTAGCTGCTCCTACTACGAACTTAGACATTAAGTGTGGTTTGAAAAAAAGCCAGTCTGGCAAGGTGGGCAAATGCATCTAATATTAAACAGTAAGAGTTCTTACCTGGTTTAAACCACAATATTTGGTAATGCCATCAACTAATTCTGACATCAACTGCACTTCATGAGACTTCTTATTATTCATGAAGTCATCTGTTTTGATCTCTACACCTGATAAAAAAATGGGGAAAATGATTTCTTTACTGCTAGCACCTGCTGCAGAATAGTCCTTCTATTGGGTTCTGCTACATAGCCAGTTGGAGCTGTCTTCCTCACCTTGGATTTCTTTGAAGCTTTTTGACATTTCCCAAGCTGAAAGCCCAAACATGTAATTGTGAAGATATATATATAGAATGGATCAACATACAAAAGAACAAATAGTGGAATAACATATAATATTAACAAAGGGATAAACGTGCTATGTCATTTTGTGCACTGCAAATGCATCATTAATTTCTTTATCTGAATACTGATAAATTTACTTACTAAAATCTGTCACTTAGGATCCAGTGTTTTGGGAAGGAAGATTTTTTATCAGATGTTACAGAATTAGTTACTGCAAACCTTGTTGATTTCACATTAAAGTCTTGGCCTGAATTGTGCCTATAGTACTACAGCCATATCGTATCGTGTTTTCCCGAAAATAAGACAGGGTCTTATAATAATTTTTGCTCAAAAAAAAAACCCTTTAGGGCTTATTTTCAGGGGATTTTTTTTCATTTACAACAATCTACATTTATTCATGTCATCTTCCGGTTGCTGCACAATGGTGGAGGGTGGGGTTTCACTTAACTGGAGCTTATTTTTGGGGTAGGGCTTATATTATGAGCATCCTGAAAAATCATGCTAGGGCTTATTTTCAGGTTAAGTCTTATTTTAGGGGAAACAGGGTACTAGTGAACTAATAATATCAAATATCATGCCCAGATATGTATTCCTCTGTATAGAAAAATCTTGGGTTGGGTATGAAGTATGTTAACTCTATATACTTCCTATTCAAATAAAATTCTATATAAGAAATAGAATTTGAAAGAAATCTGAAAGAAATCTGCAGATACAAATAACTGATAATTTAAATCAATTTCAAAGATGCTATGTTGCAGAGCCTGCAGTTCAGTATTCTATAACCCTGTAGATGTTTTATATCACTTTGGGAGCTACAAAACCCAGATAAAATTCACTACTTAAGAGGGGGGAAAGTATTTTTCTGTAAAAAATAACATTAGCACTGAATAACACATTTCCCACAAATTCTATCTTATTTTTTCTAAAACAAGCAGTATAGATCTTCAAAGCAATCACCAAGCACATTTGTTTGATAAAATAATGAAATACACATGAAAGAGATGTTTCAGGAAAAAATAGTTTGAATATAGTAACATTCCTCTCTGTCTTAAAAAAAAACAAAAACACATCCAATTTGTTCCATTATATTTTTCAATAGTTAAGAAACACGCCTCTTTTTTGGGATAGAGAATTTAATCTAGAAATGTCTGGAAAACATTAATTTTAAAGGCCCCAGAGACCATATGAAAATACTCATATTACAATCCCAAAGTTACTGAAATTTGATTTTTGGCTTCTCCAGTGACTGCCAAATAAATCAAGTCTAGCTAATGAAGTTTCTTTTAGTAATAAATATAAGAAATATTTGTTATGATATACTTTGGTTCTATTTGCATAATTTCAGATTACAAAATGTCTTATTTGCATCAGCTATCAGATGCACCTTAAAGACTAACTGCTATATTTTAACGTGACTTTTCATGTATCAAGTTCACTTCCTCAGACATAAAAGTATCTCTCTTAGCAGATAGTCTTTAAGGTGCCACAATGTTTTTGCCTCCTTTTTATTATTACTGTATTATTATTATTGCTTTTGTTTTGTTTTCAGTCTGATATGCTTGCAAATATGCCCACATTGTCTATCATACAAGTTTTTAAAAAGAGAGAGTCGTCAGCTATACAAAAGTAAGAATGTTTCAATTACTATGCTACAATCCAGAACCACACGTACAGCTCTGCTGTCTCACTGTGGCTTGGTATCATTTTACTTTAAACAGAGAGCCAGTAAAAGTATGAAAAAGATAAAATCAGTGGTAAAGAGATCACTTCGGGTGTTTTAAAAAGATATTCCAAAGTTGTAACTTACCAGAACTTGGCTGACGTTTCCCGTTCAGTGCTTCAAGCATCTGATCTAATGGAGTACACACCCCAAGGTTGGGCATAGAGTAGTACTTAGCGGCTAGAGCAAAAGCCTGAACATTGATCAGCCTCTGAGACATCTCACAGAAAATGTTATAGAATTCACAGGTTTCTGTAAAGAAGAAAAGGGAACTGGATTATTGTAATGGTTGAGTGAATAATATTAAGCAAGAGTGATACTTGAATTTTCTCTATGTAGCAGCTGTGAAGAGCACTGCTCCACCTTTTTAAATACTGTAAGAACTCAACACTTTAGTAGAACCAAGATTAACTATTTTAGAGATAATCAAGGAGAACAACATGGAAACAGTGGGCCCAAGTCACAGGAGTGTTTCTGCCTGTGTTGTTCCAAAGGAACGGGAGTGCATTTTGCTACTTGGAAATTTTGTAGACTTTCAATACAAATAAAATCAAAGAGAAATTACTACTGACTAACATAACTGACTGTTCATGTACAATTTTATATTGTTTCTGCATTGTTGGATATTTGAAGCAGAGAATGCACAAAAAGACAGAAAAAAGGTGTCATTCTAGGGTTGTTATTTATTTTAAAAAAAAACTTATTGTCAAATGGCAATTTGGCTTTTGAAATCGATTGGCAACACAACATTCAAATCTAAAACCATTTTTAAAAAAAAATTATCTGAATTTCAACTGTAGTTGGATTCAACTGAAAATACCCTTGTGCACCAGATACAAGGCAGTTTTTTGACTAAAAAAAAATCCATGCCTCTTAGACCTCTGGGAGTTTCCCACCTGATAGAAAGTTACCTAGTTGATGTTTACTGGAATGACTCATCCATGCAAATTTGTTCACAGCTATTCTCATTCTCTCAACCATCCAGTCCAGAATCAGCATCAGATATGGGAGGTGGCATATGGGTCTAGCACCTATGGACTGCTCCACAAATTCTTCCAGGGAAAAAAGATGGCACTTGTCTTCTCCAAGAGTACCGGTTACTCCAGTTATTTATTTATTTATTTATTTGATTTATACCCCGCCTATCTGAACCAATGGACCACTCTAGGCTGCTATCCATCCTGTTTTGCTGTAGCCCACAAATTCCATAAATCCCATGTGTAATGGATACAACTGAATCTTAAATTCTTGTCCCTCAGAAAGTGGGAATACAGAACAATAATGTTTCTCATGCTGGAGGTAATACAGCCATCAAAGCTACTTTTGTGCCTCTGAGAGCATTATTCTCTTATACGTACACGCAGAGCATCTCCCTATTTCACAACCACATCAAACACAATTAAAATCATGTTTCAGTCTCCATATTTCATTTTTGAAGAATATACAATACTCACTTCTTTTCTTCTACACAGTTTTTAAATTATTTTGATTTTAGCAACTTAGGATGTGATAACATTGTAAATCAATGCAATCGTTTATATTTCAATATTGTAATTTGTCATATTTTTGACCACAGCTGTTTTGTTTTGTGTCTTCAAGCTGGAACCAACTTATATGGGGTTTTCATGGCGAGGTATTTAAGGAATTGTATTCTCGAAGGCTTTCACGGCCAGGATCTGATGGTTGTTGTAGGATTTTTGGCCAAACAGCCCGGAAAACCTACAACAACTATTTATGGAATTGTTTTACCAGGTCCAAACACACAGTATGGTTCCATAGCTGATCAGGGATTCCTGAGTGCTAGTTCATTTTCTATCAACTACATCACTTGAGGTATTTAAGGAATTGTATCCTCGAAGGCTTTCACGGCCAGGATCCGATGGTTGTTGTAGGATTTTTGGCCAAACAGCCCGGAAAACCTACAACAACTATTTATGGAATTGTTTTACCAGGTCCAAACACACAGTATGGTTCCATAGCTGATCAGGGATTCCTGAGTGCTAGTTCATTTTCTATCAACTACATCACTCTGGATTTCCTGGGCTGTTTTCAGTTCATGTGAAATACCTCATGTCCTGCACTGGGATAAATGGGGGGAAACAGTGCTGGAGGAGAGCTTTACATACTACCACAAAGAGAAAGAAGTGGGTTCTGGATCAAATCAAGCCTGAATTGTCACTAGGACTCAACTGAGGTTCCTGAATTTTGGCATATTATGAGAAGGCAAGACTCACTGAGAAATGACAATAATGCTTGGAAAAACTGAATGTCAAGGGGGAAAAGAGGAAAACCACTCAATAATTGAGATTGACAGTCACAGCCTTTAGTTTGCAAGGTAGGAGTAGGGTTGCTAGTGACATGACTTTTTAGAGATTACAGTGGGGTCTTGACTTGAGAACTTAATCCGTATTGGAAGGCGGTTCTCAAGTCAAAAAGTTCTCAAGTCAAATCTGCATTTCCCATAGGAATGCATTGAGAACCATTTGATCCGTATCTGCTCTTTTCCGTCCATAGAAACTAATGGGAAGCTGCTATTCTGCCTTCGACCACTAGAGGGGGATATTTTGTTTCTTTTTTTCTTAGGTCAAGAAAGGTTCAGGGAAGGCAGGGAAAATACAGTCCAGGCAGGACAGTACCAGGCTGTCTGAAGACTGTCTCCCAATCCTCTCTCTAAACGCTGGGAGGAGTGAAGAAGCAGACAGGCACCCTTTTCACTGGCCAACAGTTAACTGAAAGTTCACATTTTGCACTTTCCCTGCCTCCCACGTGGGTTTTTTTCAGTTCTTAACTCAAATCTAAGTACTTAAGTCAAGTCAATATTTTGCTATGAGAGCGGTTCTTAAGTCAAAATGTTCTTAACTCAAGCCATTCTTAAGTCAAGACCCCACTGTATTATTTATTTCGTTGATTTATTTAGTTGATTTTTATACCACCAGTCTGACCAATGATCACTTTGGGCTATTCACAGACAATAACTAGGATTGCTCTGAACAGGAGGAGAGGGCCACAGCAATATCATGTTTCCCCAAAATATGACAGGGACTTATATTTATTATTTTTGCTCCAAAATTGCATTAGGGCTTATTTCAAGGGGATTTTTTTTTCATGTACAACAATCTATATGTATTGAAATACAGTCATGTCATCTTCTTCTGGTTGCTGTACAATTGTGGAGGGCGGCCTTTCACTTAACTAGGGCTTATTTTTGGAGTAGGGCTCTTATATTAGGGGCATCCTGAAAAAAAAATCATACTAGGGCTTATTTTCAGGTTAGGTCTTATTTTGGGGGAAACAGGATAACAGTGATCCTTCAACCTGCATTTTTTTTTCCACGTCCCCAACTTAGTATAGTACTCTGCAACACAACAACAGCTCTGTTTCTCTCCCAGATAAGCTAACTCTCTGGCCAAGAAGAACGTCAGTGGACATCTGGGAGTCTTCGCTGTCCCAGCGGCCGAGGAGGAGGGTGCGTCTTCCCTTTCCCCCAAGTGTGCTCCGACCCAGCACGGAATACAAAGGGAAAAGCGACGAGAGGCGCCAAACACGAAAACTCTTGAGCTGAAACCCGTGGTGTCAGAAATGAGGCGCGCCAGGGAACGAGTTATACTCCTCCCGGCCTGGGGTCGGACAGGCTCTTACCGGCGCCGGCGGCTGCCTCCTCGAAAGGGCGCGGCGGCGGCTCCTCCAGCAGCTGCCTCAGCCTCTCCCCGCTCAGGGCTTCCAGCACCGCCTCCGGGGGAAGCGCCACCATCTTCTCCCACAGGCCCCGCGTGTAGAAGTCCACGGTGTGGGCCCGGCAAAGCGGCAAGACCCGCCGCAGGAACTGCGCCACCGCCCGCACTCGCACCGCCACCGCCGCGGGAGGCGGCTCCGGAGGCAAGGGATGGGCCTCACCCGCAGCCCTCCTCCACATCGCGGGTCGCGCAAGAGGGAAGGGAGAGCCGGCGGAGGGTCGGGGGACGATGGCTCGGCGATCGATGGAGAGCACCTGTTCGTCCCGTCAATGGATGCCGCCGTCTGTCTGTCTCTCGCTCTGCCCAGGCAAAGGGAATCGAGCACCGATATCAAGCCGTATCTATGCGGCGCGCGTGTGATGACGACAACTGTGCGGGACGAAGTCGGAAGAGTGGTATCGTGATGGCGCCTGTGGCGGGGAGAACAGAGTCTCCGGGTTTAAAGAGCAATGAGCCAAGAGACAAAGCGAAGGCACATCCGAGTCGGAAAAAGCCGTGGAGACGGGACCCGCGGCTTCTGAGGGGGAGCATCCGGGAAGGTAAGAACAGCAGCGACGGTCCCAGTTCCCAAATGTCTTTGTGGTTTCTTTGTTCTCCCTTTAACCGCGTTTTCGTGAAATCATCAGAACTTAGTTTAAGTGGCTGATGTTTTTTTGTGAGCTTCAGAGCGTTTTCCCGGACCAAAGAAATTGCTAGAAACTCTATGGTTCCGTAAGCGTGTCGTCCCAACATTATGTCTTTTTTTGTCCCAATATTCCTAAAATTCAAACTCGTGTACAATGAAAGAACAGCATCGGTAGATTTTTAGCCAGGTTGATCTAATTTTTTTATAAGAACCGCAGAATACCGTACGGATATTTTGTGGAAAAGGCATATTTTTACAATTAAAATACAAGGGACTAGTGAACACGCTCGGATCGTAGCGATTTGTTTCACAATCGCAAGTGAACTTTTTTTCCACAGACGTTCGCAGTGTTTAGCTTTCAATGGTTGTTATTCTATTGTTATTAAAAAAACGAAGAGCTTGAAATCCTTGCTTATTTCCTGGTAATCATGTGACATTAGATTTTTATTTTCTTTCTCTGTATGTGCCATCAGATCAGAACCGACATATAGCGATCTTAATAGGGTTTTCAAGGTAAGTAAGATGTTTAAGAAGTGTATTTACCAGTTCCACACAATCCCCCAGTGAGTTTCTGCAGCTAAGTAGAGATTCAAACCCTGGTCTCCAGAGTCCTAGTTTATCACTGTATCCACTACAGCACACCACACAACACTGCACACTTAGGACAACCTAATTTAAAGTAGACTGAATCCAGATACGTCCCATTGGAGGAGCCCCTGCATATTACCCTAAGTTTGTGCTGTCACAATGGCTACTCTGTAGGTTAGAAGAGGTTTGGATCTAACACAGTGCAGCTCTTCCATTTTGTGCCTCTTCTTCAGCTTTTCAGCCAGATAAGTTATACTGGAGCAAGAAATTTCTGTCCATTCCAGATCCACTATAACAAGCCCATTTTCAGTTAGGATTGCATTGTGAATCAGCTTTGTCTTCTTATCGTCTGTTTTAAAAATGTGGTGCAGATGTTATGGCTTTAATACCAAACTGGTATGTTCGCTCCTGTTTCCTCCTATACTGCTTTGCTTGATGTGCAACCTAATGACATCTTCCACAGAATATAAACATTTGGCAACTGCTTTGTGATAGTTTTATGAAGCTCTTAATGGTATTGCCTTGCTGAAGGTTTTAGAGTTTCCCTTAATAGCCAAAATGTTTGTCTTTGCTTTTGTATTCAAATAAATCTTATGAGGTAGATTATCATTCATTTGCAGAGAATCATGACCGTATGTGAGTAGCTTCCAAAAAGACTTCGTTATAATTACCGTATTTTTTGCACCATAAGACGCACTTTTTCCCCACAAAACAGGGGCGTGAGAAGCTTCCAAAAAGACTTTGTTATAATTAGGTTATGATTTGATAAGCATTTGCTTGTGACTGAAATAAGTTTAACAAAGCAGTGGCATTTGCTTGTTCATGAATATATATTGGGTTGCACTATACACTCATCTCCCTTAAATCTCAATTTCTAACCCTGGAAGGGCTTAACTCTCTCATTTTCTAAATCAGTTCAGCATTTCCTATTACAGCTACTTGCTATTGCAAAAAGTGCACCCAGCCTAAACTCGTGCTTGAAAATGTTTCCAGGAAAGCTTGTTTTGGTGCCAGTGATTTATAGTGCATTGGGCCTAACATGAACTGCCATGTATCAGTTGTCAATACCACAATGGGCATACATCCCCAGAGATGTCTTGTAGCTCTTAGTAATTCTGTTTGCCTCCCCTCTCAAGCCAATCTTCTCTAGGTTTGCACTGATGATAGGAATAATAAGTACTAACTGCTTCTTATAGAACTTTTGTCAAGGAAGGTAAAGTTATTCCCCTTTAGACTAAGTGGGATATGGAAAGCCACTTTTATAGAATAGTCTAACATTAACCCATTATAGCCCAGGATATTGATGTAACAACATCATTACAATTTGAAGAAGTAGTAACAGAGTAACATGATAAATTACCTTCCAAACAATGTTGGTATGTCTTTAGTTAGTACTAAGCATGTTTTCCCAAGAGGGGATGGTAAAATAGCTGCAGATAATGTCTGAATCTCAGCAGTACAATGCAACTAGAGTAAGCTCACTGTATCATTTGAAGTTAAGATGTGTTGACTCTCCAAATTACCACTGTAGTTGTGAGATTTTGGTCAATATTTGCTGTTGAGGTTTATAAAACATCTAGCATGCTGCAGAATATTTGGTTCCATTATGATCTTTGCAAACAACTTTGTCAGATATAACTGTCTAAGACTGATGGTAGAATTTCTGAATAATACTGAATTTGCCTACTGCTCCCTTATCACAAAAACATATTGAGGAATTGTCAGAAGGTTCGTTGGAGGTTTTGGATGGTCCCAAATTTGACGCAGAAACAGACATAGTTGAATTATTCAAACTATAATTGTTTTTATTTAATGGTAACAGCGGTGTATCAATGACAACTTCTGTGAGTATGAATGAGTCCCAATCCTTCAACTGTCCCTCAAAGAGTCCGTCATGATTATAAGAACTAGAGTCTCCTTTCAAAACTGGGGTGCCGGACCAAAACGCTCTTTGTTGCTGGGCTTCCTCAAAGGTGCGCTCCTTACTGCGCATATAGTACTGCAGCACGGATGGCGGGCCCAATCCCCCTCTGGGGTGGCTTGTTGAAGGTGGGGGCCAGCCATACCACCTTCTTCCAGGGACCGCGTCCCCTCAGGAATGCCACCACGGTCCATCCTGAGGTTTCCCTTATTGTCACTCCTTCTCCCTCCAGTGCAGGATTAGGCGGCAGACCTCCAACTTTCAAGTTGGGGAAGTCCTTTAGCAAGTTACTCACATTCTCCTTCTTGTCCTCCTTCTCTCTCTTGTTTGTCTCAATCCAAAAATCCCATGCTCCTGTCCCCACTTTTATGTCTTTCTCCCACATGCCTATCAATTGCTCTTCCTCCTTCCCTTTCCCTTCCTCCAAGAGACAAACTTCTATTTTAACCCTTTCATCTCTCACTCCCTTTATGTCCTTGTTTTCCGGAGGAGATGGCGCACTCCTATCCTCTATCCTTCACAGGAATACTGCTGTAAAATGTTGACATATAATATAAAGGATGTAACTGTCTGTGAGTAAAGCCGATTGAATTCATTGGGATTTACTTCGGAATAGACATGCATAGAATCACAGAATCACAGAGTTGGAAGAGACCCCAGGGGCCATCGAGTCCAACCCCGTGCCATGCAGGAACTCCATCAAAGCACTCCCTATAGATGGCCATCCAGCCTCTGCTTAAAAACCTCCAAAGAAGGAGACTCCAACACACTCTGAGGCAGCATATCCCACTGCAGACCAGCTCTGACTGTCAGGAAGTTCTTCCTGAGATTCAGGAGGAATCTGTTTTCCTGTAGTTTGAAACCATTGCTCCTTGTCTTAGTGTCTGGAGCTTTGGAAAACAAACCTGTCCCTTCCTCGACATGACATCCCTTGAGATATTTAAACATGGCTATCATGTCCCCTCTTAACCTTCTTTTTGTAAGACTAAACATTCCCAGCTCCCTAATCCGCTCCTCATAGGACATGGCTTCCGGACCTCTGACGATTTTGGTCACCCTCCTCTGGACATTTTCCAGGTTGCTAAAAAAATGATAGAACGATAAGAAATGAGAACTCTTATTTAATTTAGTCATTAATTGCCACTATACCATATACAGTTGTCTGCTGTAAAATTCAAACTAGAGTGTTGCAAGGAAGATAATAGCATTATTTCAACAGAGAGAAAAAATCTGCAAAAAGTAATATTGGATTTAAAAATAACTAATATGATTTTAATCAGATGTGTTTTTTTCTGATACCTTCAGGTCAAGGTTTTGCGTTTTGGAGAAAACAAAAGATCCAACGTGATTATAAAAAGTTACTAAAAAAGGAGGGCAATGCTAATTCCAGAAAGAACATTGGGTACACAGACGATTACCCAGATCACTTGAAACATCTTTATCTAGCTGAAGAAGAAATGCTTAAGAAACAAAGCCGTGTTTCAAGATCAAGAAATAAAAGTTCAGCTCCACAAGAAGAACAGGACACAGAAGCATTAAAGTAAGTCATTTTCTGAAAGTTGCTATTTCACAAGAACTTCATTTCATATGTGAGCATAGTTTGTTTTTCTGGTTTGTAGTTTCTCAATACTTTTTCTGTTTGTATTTTTCTACCAGCCAAGTGGAATCTTTAGTTTTCCAAGTTCTACCAGAAGGATAAAGCACCAAACAGCAGTATGAGCAAATTGAGTAGAGTATCTCCCATGCCAGAATCCTTTTCAGACCTTGTACTTGTATAACACTGGTTATGGTGGAGGCTGGGTTGGCCTACATGGAATTTGCTCAGAAAGACAACCCATACATCCTTGTTTGAGCCATTCCCAGATCTGGCACTACAGCTCCACTTCCTCCATGTGCCAAGATGACATTGAAGGCACCAGAGGTTACTAGCTGGCTTTTCATTTGTTGAAATATCCCACCAGCTATTGGAGCCTCCGGGAGCCTTCACAGCATGAAAGTATGAGATGGAGTTTTCTCTGTTTTGCCACATTCAACACAGCATTGACCTAAATCATTCTATTACAAAAGTTGTTATATTTCTAAACCAAATAAGTGCAGTCTAATTTTTTTAAAGATTGTAATTTATCAATGTATTTGTTTAATGATTACAGCCCTGTTATGCTTCATGTTTTACCTTACACTTCTGTCTGCATACCTACTGGACATGTTAGCATATCACAATGAACCATGTTTTGTGGCTTTAGCTAAAACCACAGATAGCAGAGCAGGTGACAAAACCAAAGAAATGAAAAGAAAACAACCATGTGGTTTATCTTTCCCCTTTTCTGACTTGTTTATGTCATGACCATTCTGCTACCTAGAGAAGCAAGCCAGTTGAAGTGGCAAATAACAAGCCATGGTTTCAACAAACCTGTGTTTGTAGGCCAACAATAGATTGTCTTTGTAGCTTCTAAGCAAAGCATAGGTTTTCAGCAGAGGCAGATTTTCATATTACAGTAGAGCATCTTTCATGAAACTACACTATAGTGTCTAATTATGGGCATATATAGGTAAATGTAAAGGTTCCCCTTGACATTTAGTCCAGTCGTGTCTGACTCTAGGGCGGGGTGCTCATCCCCATTTCCAAGCCATAGAGCCAGCATTTGTCTGAAGACAGTTTCCATGGTCATGTGGCCAGCATGACTAGACACTGAACACCGTTACTTTCCCACCGAGGTGGTACCTATTTATCTACTTGCATTTTTACATCCTTTCGAACTGCTAGGTTGGCAGGAGCTGGGACAAGCGATGGGAGTTCACTCCGTCGCATGGATTCGATCTTACGACTGCTGGTCTTCTGACCTTGCAGCACAGAGACTTCTGCAGTTTAACCCACAGCACCACCACATCCCATATGGGCATATATAGCCTCTGGTTTATTGTGGGTGATGTATTCCAAATGCAAGTGTATTTTGAAATGCATATAATGTCTCAAGAATGGACAATTTTGCTGGACCCAGAGGTCAATTTAAAAAAGTTTAAACAGATAAAGAATGGCTTGTATGGTTAATGGTCTGAGCCTAACTGTGTTTGTTCAGAACCACAAAACCAAATTACTTTGACTTTAATTGAACTTGCAAGTAAGTGTGTTTAGATTATGGCTTCTGTCTGGTCCAGATAAGTGAACAGCTGTTGTTTAGTTTGTAGGTTGAGCAAGTGCTATTTTTTAAAAAAATTTAGTGCTAGACAGAACATACTTTCTGAATTCAATTTTCAATTAGAGTATTTTTTAAAAGATTATCAGTTATATATGGTTTGAAATAGAAAGATTCATGAAGCTGTTGATATTGGTAAAATTATATTCACGTGCAGGCGGCATTGCCTTTGCACGAAGAGATCCAGAATGCCAGGTTGTATCAGTTGAATCATGTTGTTCCTGGCTTAGTTCTCCTGAAAGACAGTAGTGGCAAAGGAAGGTACTTGGTGACAAGTCGTTCATAGCCAGTTGTCTTGTTACACATTTCGGCTGCCACTACTGTTTCCTGGACGGTAACAAGAGAGCTATCTCCTAAATAATTTCATCAGGGCTGTCAAATTCTCTCTCACACGCAGTATAATTTGAAATTCATGGAAAAAGTCCTGTCCTGAAGGTGTATTTTAATCACTGGTGTGTTTTGTGTAACCTAGATATAATAGTATTCAGCAAAAACCTAAAGCAAAGAGCTCAAACCAGAAAGCAAAAGAAGATTATGAGAGAATAAAAGCTGAGAGAGAAAAGAAAAAAGAGGTATGGAAACATTTTTTTGGATTTTTTTTTTGTTTTTTGTTTTGTTTTTAAGGGGTGTTTCTTGATGCACTCATGGGTTCACACAGAGAAGTAATGTATCAAAGGGTGGAAATAAAATCTGTTTGTACCAGAGTTTTTGATGCCTGTGAATCTCATTCACAGACACTTTCACGTAGAGATGGAGAATGGAAGTTGCTACTGATTTTAGGCTATTTTGTAGTTCTAACATAGGGCCTGAGAATGGCATTGTATATAACCATACTTCTCAAAACCTCATACTAATGTTTATATAACTCCATCCATACTCAATTGGAAAGGAACAAAACTTTCAACAGTGTGATGCTTTCACAAATACTGGGACTGAACACCCAGGTATGGAAGAGCAGTACAAAAATGAAGGTGCATGTGCTTTATTTTTCTGAATGAGAAGGCCAATCGAATGTGGACTTTGTTGTGCAAGAAAATGCAATTCTGTTGTCAACGGTCAGAATCCTATTACCATATGTATCCCAGCAGAAGTCAGGCAGTGCAAATTGTTGATGGTTGAGAAGTTGAGGCTTATATTCTTGCCCTAGGTAAGAAGTCACAGCTTACATTATTTGTCATATGTACAAAAAAAGAAATACAAGAATCATCTTCTTAACTCATGGCAATTTGCTGCAGTGATTTACACCATTTGACTTATGCTTCTGCAGGAGTCTCATGGTGCAGTAGTTAAACTGTTGTACTGCAGCCAAAACTGTTCACAACCTAGGGTTCAATCCGAACTGGCCAGTTCAAGGTTAACTCAGTCTTCCATCCATCTGAGGTTGGTAAAATGAATACCCAGATCACTGGGGGGAGGGGGGGCAATGTGTAGCCTGCATAATTAACTTGTAAACCGCCCAGATAGTGCTTTAAGCACTATGGGGCAGTATATGAGCAGAACACTTTTTAAAATTTTCTTTTTGCTGGAACTTTTGCTAGTTAGTTACTGGTAGTCTGACTTGTTATATAATACCTTCTTTTAGTATGAGTCATTGTCTTGTATCACATTAGCAGAGTAAAAATAAAACATTGCACAACTGATAATTCAAGAGTCAGTGCAAGCATTCAATCTGTGTGGTGCAGCCACTTTCACAATAGAAATAACATTTGATACTGTCCTTGCACAAACTCTATTAATACATATCTGATAATATGGTGGGCCTTGTACTAGTACAGAAATGCTGTTGGATACGGAACAGACCCCGAATAACAAATGTGCGGTGTTGAAGGAATTCTGGCACTCAGAGATAAAAATATGCTAATTTAAATGAGTAAAGTTAATTAATACATTTTAAAGCTGAATGACCTTCATGGCCATGCCCTCAAGATCCCATTCATATGCATACTTATCAACTTTCAGATGCCTAACTGTAGTGGTATTCAAACTATGGTAGAGACAGAACACACCCTTGATTGTTGCTAGAGCTGCCTGTTGTGTCCTTTGGACTACATCTTCCAGCACTGTCACAGTCCAAAAACACAAATCTGTACAGATGTATTTGTTGCATCATGCTTAGAAAAAAATAATTTCTGAGAAGTGGGAAATGTTGTACCACTATTATTTACGCTGAATTTTCATTTCAGGCAGCCAGACAAAGGAGAGAAGAAAGAGAAAAAGCACAGAAGCTATACAAACAGAAGAAAATGGAAATGTATAAAATGTTAAGTAAAAGAACTAGAAAAGGACAGCCAAATCTAAATGTACAAATGGAGTACCTCCTCCAGAAAATACAACAGACTCCATGAATATTTATTATCTTTACTACAGATTCAAACAAAGATGTTTTGTAATAAAACCCATGGATTTCTTTTTAATAAAAGCTTTCAATTTCGGATATTACCGTCTATAAGTTATAATGAAAGTTTGTTAAGGGTGTTTGTTGTTGTGTGCTGTCAAGCAAGAGCTGACTTAACAGTCACCTTAACAGAGCTTTCAATGTAAATGAAAATTTTAAGTAGTAGTTTTACCAGTTCCACATCCCAGCAATTTTCCATAGCTGAGTTGGGATTTGAACTCAGGTCTACTGAATCCTAGTCCATCTCTCTTTCCACTACACCACACTGGGTATCCATGTTAAGAATACCAGACAGTAAAATCAGATTGCAGATCCTCATTTTCTAATTGAATTTGCACAAGTGGGTCCTATAACCTTTGTTCCTGCTAAAATATCCAAGTTCTTCTCTTTTAGACTGCAGTCCTATTCGCACTTATCAAAGTAGGAGTTCCTGTTGCATTTACATCAGAAAGTATTTACATCAGAATTTACTGTTTTCTTCAGCCAGCTGTTTATTTGTCTACCAGCAACTTTTCTTGTAGTTATGATTACTGTTTGCACCTGTTTCAGTGCCAAATTTTATTCTTCCCTTTTTATTTACATTTGAAGATCAACTAGAGTCATGGGCACAGTGTTCTCAGCATAATTTGATGCATTGCAGAAACATATCGCTGCACTGAAAATGGCTTTTGAATGTTACCAGTTGCAATAGGGTTCAGACTATGAAAGCTTATGCTGAATAAAACCTATTAGTCTTAAGGTACCACAAGATCATTTTACTGTTTTTGCTGCAAAAGCCTGGAAACTTTTGAATATTATATTGTGTACTACTCTGCTATAATTTCATGTTGTCATGAAAAAGCTGAGTTTGGAAGAAAAACTATATTGGTTTTGAAAGGATGACTAATAATTATATCAATAGAAAAATGACAGCAGTTAAGTTTACAAGTGACTTGTGGTTTGATTTGAGAAGCTTGTATCCATCCCTAAGGCCAAAATGAATGCATCTGAGAGGTTGAAAGAAACAGGGAAATATTTAAAACTTTCATTTACTTCACCGTTTCAGAATCGCATTTCCTTTTGTGAGGCAATGCTTAACACTTTGATGCTGTGTGTCTTATGACGTTTCACTCAAACCATTAGCAGCTGCCACTGCTTCTTTCCTCAAGCTTTTCCTCTACTGATCTTTTTTCCCAAGGCATTTCTGCCTTCTAGTCTTCTCTTCATGCTCAGTCTTCTTATCAAAGTCCATTTTCCTTTCAATTTCCACCATTAGTGACTTGAGGTTGTTGGATACTCTGGCAGTGAGTTCACATGAATGCCTATTGCATGCTCTGTGAATTTTTCTGATGGCTTCATGGCTGGAAATAATTTATGCTTCTGCATTAATATGCCTTTCAGCATTTTTCTAGTACTTTGGTTCAGTTTACAGTATATAAAGTTTATGCTTGGGCAGTACACTCTAATGTGTATCTCAAAACCAACTGAGTTTCAATACATCCTCCTAGATATGTGTGTGTAGGACTGCAGCCTCAGTAGCTTAAGTTAGAATGTAAACTAAGTTCTGCATTTCTCATGGAATCCACTGATAATTTTGTTTCTGTTCATCTATGACCTTTGGTTAGTGTCTTTCTGGAGATGGCTCAGCACAGATGGGAAAAGTGACATTTGTGGACTGTGACTCCCCAAATCCTCCAGATGGCGCAGCCACTGGCTGTACTGCCTGATCAACCTGCAAGATGTAATCCAAGACAAGTTCTGCCTCCTAGCAGGGTTATGAAGAATATAAATCAGCAGCCTGTCCAGATGTTATACTTGTCATGACGATCAAAACCCCATGACATGTGTTCTGACACCAAGGTGTGTCAATAATAGAATGTATATGAGGACTGCTCACTATGTTATGAACACATTTAAGAGTTATAATACAGTATGTAAAATAATATGATTGAAGAAATGGAAAATGTATTTGAGCCAATTACTATAAGCAAATGTGTATCTGAATAAGCTCAGATTTTAGTGTATATCTGATTGCAGTCTAGCTATATATTTAAACAGGTGGATTTCAGAAAACCTTGGTGATCCTCCAGTAGATTCATTATATGAATGTGAATGCCAGAATCCTGCCTACAGAGCTAATTGCCAGAGGGGGCTATTGTTTTTAATCAACTTGCTGTCATCCCTTCTGGTGGACAAAAGCTGCTGCTAATTCACCTGCATATTATAACCATGTTGAGTCATACCCTGTGAACATGGTTCAAACATTGATGTTTATATTACATTTATGAATTAATGAAGGAGGACACTGTGTGTAAAATTTTTGTTGCAACAGATTTTTGCAGAAACCTTTCGGCTGTATGATCTTATGTACTGATTACAGAAATTTAAGAATAGTGAGAGAGTAAAAAAGTCTGTTCAATTTGTTTTGATAGTGTATTCCTGCTGATTATATTGATATACTTGTGTGCAACCATTAACTAATTATCTGAAATATTACAGTGGTGCCCCGCTTAACGATTACCTCATTAAACGATGAATCCATTTGATGATGAGGTTTTTGCGATCGCAAAACAATGTTTTAATGGGAAAAAATCACTTAAGGATTGGTTCCCTGCTGATCAGCGGCTCTCAAAATGGCCACCCGCTCTGCAAAATGGCTCCCCGCTGTTTTTAGGATGGATTTTTCGCTGTACAGGCACCGGAAAATGGCCACATTATGGAGGATTTCTATGTGTTTCAATGGGCTTTTTTTCCCCGCTTGACGACGATTTCGCTCTACAGCAATTTCGCTGGAATGGATTAACATCAAGTGAGGCATCACTGTATTTACATTTGCAGCAGTTCTTCAAAAATGTGTGCCTTTGATAAAACTCCAAAATGTAAGTGTTTTGCTACAAAGGGAGAAAAGGGAGGGACACAACTTCAACTTACTGTTCCTGCTTTTAGTGTGGTAGAACAGTTGTTTGGAGGCTTCTGATTTTTATCAAGAAAACTCCACTGGGTGGAGGCATGGAGCCGAATTTCACTAGCAAAAATATGTGTCTGATAGTTGAATAGTAATCAGCAGTTTTAAAAAATCCAGGACTATAATACATCATTCGGGGGTTTTAAGAGCTTACCATTTAACAAAAATAAGTACGTATGCTTGTTAAAGCATTAACTGGGGCCAAATCCTAAGTTTTCCGTTTTGCTCTCACACTACAATCACATACACCCAACAAGGGATTGTGCAGCCCTTGCGTGATACATCTTTGCCATATAAGACACTTCTGACAGCAGTCTCCCACACCCAAGAACTGCAGCAAGGGACTTACAGGATCTCTGGAAGGATTTAGTGACAAATTGGACAACAAAGATTATTGCAGCATTGCCACTAATGCACTACTGTAGCTTCAATCAAATAGTGCTTTGAACACAGAGATTCATTTTATTTACAGCAGTAGTTTGAAAGGATCATCTCTTGTAGTGTCCCTCACAGCAAAACCACTGTTTCCAGATTGTTCATTACAATGAGCACTTCTAACGGAGAATTCAGAAAGGCTGGATAAAATGTTCCATTTCACAATGAACTTGATAATATGGAGGACTGAATCGTGTAATCCAATTTCAGTTATCTTCAGTCTGTACATTGAGAAATTACAATAGTATTTTCTGCTATCTATCCCAAGCAAAAAGATTGCACTGCTCATCACCAAATTTACTTGTGAACAATTTGTCCTAAACATACTCTGTCCTTGTTCATTTTAGATTGTTTTCTATGATGTTTTATTTCTGCATCCAAATACTTCCACTTGTGCCTCTGGATTTACACTTTATATTGGCAATAAAGATATAGCCTGTAGCCTTTTTCAGACAGGTTGCATACCGTATTTTTTGCTCGATAAGACGCACTTTTTCCCCAAAAAATGTGGGTGGGAAAGTCTGTGCGTCTTATGGAGCGAAGGCAGCAATTTCGTCCCTGCTGGCCCTGTGGGGGGGGGCATCGCAAGGGTGAGCCTTCCAGGACCCTTGCGATGCTCTCCCCACCCCCCACGGGGCCAGCACTGGCGAAATCACCAGCTTCCAGGTGGGGGAGTGTCGCAGGGGTCCTGGAAGGTTCACTCGGACCCTTGCGACGCTCCTCCCACCCACGCACGGGGCTAGAACCAGCAAAATCGCCAGTTTCTGGGAGTCTTTTGAGGCTGGTGATTTTCCCCCTGGCCCCGTGGGGGGTGGGGGGAGCGTCACAAGGGTCCGGGTGAGCCTTCCAGGACCCTTGTGATGCTCCCCCCACCCCCGCATGGGGCCAGCGCGGAGCAAAATCGCCAGCTTCTGGGAGTCTTTTGAGGCTTGGGAATGTGGCGATTTCGCCCCCTCTGATCCTTGGGGGGCAGGGTGAGTCTCTAAAGGGTCCTGGAATACACCCTAGGACCCTTTGGAGGCTCACCCTTCCCCCCCCCCCGGGCCCGAGGGGGC